GTCTCCATCACTGCAAATGAGAGCACCCTGAAGCACCCCCACTTTCTTCAGGTCTTCTCCACAGATACTGATGTTTCCAAGATCTGAGGTCCGCATCCCATGTATCTTGTCTTCCTGATGTTCAGTCGGAGCCCAAACTCACAGATTGTTCCATTTCTCCGTTTATTTAGAAGTTCATGAAGCTGTCTATTCGCCAGAAAGACATCATGAGCGTAGATCAGTATCCAAGGATGGAGGGGCCTGGAGATCAGCCGTCACATAGGATGAAAAAAGTGGTGAAAGGGCTGATCCTTGATGTACTCCAACACTGATGGCAAAGGGAGAATAATACAATAATTATAAATTTTCGCTAATAAAGAGTCTGCTTCCTTAACCGAGATGGTGCGAGTCAAAATGGTCCTACTTAAGTTTTTTTTTTAATTTTGAAAGTAAATATACATAACAAGAATTAGAATCGTGTCAAATTTGACCCTCAGAGTTTTTTGCAAATCTCCACGTTCTTAGACCACCTGACCCCAAAAAAGTAAAAAAAAAAACCAAAAAAAAAGGTAAAAATATTCCGTATATGTGTGTTGACGTCTATAAGAAACGAAATTTGGCATGATAACTTATGTATTTAAGGAGCATTTATGCTATTAAATTTTGGTGGTTAAAAGTTAAAGGTATGGGGAGATAGAGGATTGTCATGTACGGCACCTATATTTCGAGAGAGGTCGGACTTAATGATGTTATTCGTTATTAATTTTTACAATTTTTTTGGTAAAATTCCAGATACGTATACCGTCATGGCGGCTCATCTCTGATTTCAGCAAACAGTGGGGACGCACGTTCTAACCTAACCTAACCTATTCTAATAATTTGGTTGGTAATAATTACGGTAATTTATTAGAATAGGTTAGGTTAGGTTAGAACGTGCGTCCCCACTGTTTCTTTTGTTTGCTGGAATCAGAGATGAGCCGCCATGACGGTATACGTATCTGGAATTTAACCTTTTTTTTTTTTCTTTTTAATAAAAACTCATCACTACCCTCAAAATTATGCTTTTTTCCATGCGATAATAATTAAAAATATAAAAAGTTATAAGTAAAGGTTTCTTCTTCTAATAGTGAGACTAATGATATTTATCACGTCTTTCTTAATTATCCTCAATTAATAGAGACGTAGATTAAAACAGTTCACTTTATTTCGCCTATTTAACAATGCATTTCGGATTGCCTCTCAAGGCAAGCAATCCTTCGGAAATCCCTCTTCAGGCTCACAGCTTCAGTGTCTAAGGTTATTCGTAACGAACGAAAGGTTAGTTCATGTTAATTGTTCTAGTCTCAGACCGAGTCACACGTGCTAGTTATTTATAGTTTTGTAAAGGTGGGGACGGATTTATCGGTGACAGAATGAACCGAACTCACAATATAATGTTTGACAAGATAATGAAAATCATAAAAACGGTAAAACTTAACCTAAAGCCAGAAAATCATTTAAAAAATTACCTTAAAAAGTATCTAACATAGACCTATCTATATACATAAAGCTGAAATACCTGATTATTTCTTCCTGTCTTTCTTCCTTTCTGTCACTGTATGCCAAAAATGGCCACTAGGGGCGCCCTTAGCTATTATTTAAATTAATAATAAATTCAGCATATTATTATTTTATGTGGTTTTTTTTTTTGTATTTTTTGGCTGAGTTTTAGTAGGGTACGCTATGAGAAATTCAGTATATTATTACTTTTATTTGTAATAGAAATTTATTATTTATACGACGGAATGACACCGCTGCTGCTAGAACGCCCACTAGGGAATACTACTAGAAGGATTAGAAGTACGAAATAATCTAATCTTTGTTTTTTTGCCCGGGCAACGCCGGACTCATCTGCTGGTAAATAATAATATGCTTTAAATCGTCGATATATTCAGCGCAAGCTTATTGAATGTAATGACAGGATTCATCTGTAGTGTGTTGTAGCGCAACGATACAGCTTACAGTACAAGTGGGCATATCAAAGATTATTAGAATTTTGCACTGCAATCGTTTTCTGTTATTTTAAGTATTTTTCATATAAAAATATAGTTGGAATCGTATAAATTGATAGTGCTTTTCGTATTATGTATACACCAAATTAAATAATCACGGAGCGTTGGCCGAGAGGAGTTTTGAAGGAAAAAAAATGTAGCAAGTACTTCTAATTCTTCAAATGAAAAGGTGAATACCAACGAAGATACAAATCCAGACACTAATGCTGCTTAAAATATAGAAGTTTAACCATTTACATTAATGAATAATATTTGCTTTCCATTATTAATCTTTCTTTGCATTTTCAATAAATTGTTTTTGATGTTTGTTTCTATTAGCTGTTTTATCTATTATCATTAAAAATTATCAGGATTCCAATATTTTTTACTAAGGTGAAAAGGGTTCCGCAATAAAAATAAGTTTGGAACCGCTGGTGTACACTCCAATAAGAATTAATATCATAAGTTCCAAGGAGATCTATCTTATGAAAGAAAATAATTTTATCTTTTTTCCCCTTTCTCAAAAAATAGGTGCAATCGAGAAGCGTAATTGAAGTCCGATGCTCAAGGAGTCTCGGATTTGTCATCATTAGAGAATTAACTTGATCATCAATAAAATTAATTTTGTCTCAATTATCTAAGATTATACATTTCCTAAAATAATGTTTTGTCTAATTAAAATCGTTTAAATGTAAAATGTTCCTATTAAACTTGATATCTTCTCTGTCTTCGCGTACATACATCGGAATATCTCTTACTTGATATATCTTAGTATTTACTTATTTATTTAATGTAATTTCTTATTAAATTTTTATATCTAATTAAAAGTATTCGGTTAATTTGCGAAAGTTGGATCTTCCGGAAATGAAATTTCGCAATAATTATTTCTCCAAGGATTCTCAAAATGTATGTTAGAAAAGACAGACAAAAAGAGAAACTGCGTGACAATATCAATAGTTAATATTAATTTAGAATTTAAAACTGTAGAATGAATGTAACGTCAAAGAAAAATTAATCTGATGTCTCTTTTCACATAACATTCCAAATAAAGTGTATTCGTACATTTAGTAGCCTATGTCGAATTTATGTATGAAAATCTAAAATAAACAAGCTTTTTGGATTTTCGTTAACGTAGAGCAGTAAGGAGACTCAAACTGTGATCTTCCTATTGAAACGAAGATGTTCCTATTGTTATCAATTACATATGAAGTGCATAATACTTTTATATGTTAAAATATATCTCGATATTCTTACCTTTCTCCTGCATCTATTAATTTTTTGTAGACATAATTGGTTGGGAGCAACTTTGTCAAAAATTAGGATTTCTTATAGGAAGATGAGAACATATTAGGTCTATAATAGAATTTATAGGCGATTAGTAGTTCTATAGCAGAGTAATATAGTCTACTGTACAAAGCGGTAATATCTGCTGATCCTAGTCGAAATACTGATATCAAATATTAGAAAATTACACCACAAAAATACTATTATTAGATCATAAAAACATGATACGAACTGATAATAGGTACGATCAAAATTACAATAAAAGTAGCCTACTTTGCAACTGATATTCAAAGAGAAAATCTCAATAGTGTTAACATTCGCTCTTTAAATTGTGAATAATAAAGACAAACATAAATTTACATTTTCTTTTATTATTATTCTCATCTCGTAATAAAAACAAGAGTAAGATACAATGAGAGAGGTTAAATTGAAAAATTGTGAACAAGTGTCGAATTTCATAATTTTCCTCCTCTTACTCGCGACAATGACATGGGATTTTTAAATTCCTAAATATAAAGCATAATTCCTTTTAAACTTAAGTAAATGGTGTCGTATTAAATTAACGATTTACATCTGTACTTATTCGTATGATTCTCTCTCGAAAAGTTCGTATACGACAATAATTTTACAGAATATATAATTAGAAATTTAATGCGTTTTTATACAAAATTATTTTTAAACATATTCTAGCGATGAACAGCATGACGTCAGTATTATTCTTTAACTAGAATTAAATTCTTTAAACGTGTGAACAAGATAAATATTGATTTAGTTATTCTAAATTTATCTAATTTAACTTCTATTAGCTACGAATGAGAACTTACAAAATATTCAGGGGTTTGTTTCTCTTTTACAAGTCAAAATTGTTAAAAATAGTATACTAAATAGGCAGAAAATTAATTTAATTGTGTTAATGTAGATTATCGGATAATCTATTGACTGTCAGTTGCAAACCGTACACTTTTGTTGGTCACTAAAATCAGAGTTCGTGACATGATACTAATTAACGTTTCATCCCTTGTGGCAAACTTCCATGTTATCTTGCAAAAATGGTAATTTGTCACAAATTCGAAATTTAGATTTACAGGTTCTAAAATTAAATTTTGATACAAAATTTATATACGAATCTATATTCTAAATTCAATTTCTTTTCTCTTTTCAAACATGCATTGAATTTATAGTTAAATGAAATTCATATACTAGTCACGTCGGATTTAAAAATCGCTTCAAAATCGACATTTCGTGACCTCGAACTATTTTTAAAATCATTTCAAATGCAGTTACTGTTTAAAAAGGATATATACCCTTTATAAACGTTATATATGAAATTTCATAGCAATGTCACAATCATTATAACTAATAATTTTTTAAATCACAATAACTTATAAATTAATAACTATGGAGCACCTTTTCTGTAGTTTTCAGAGTTAAACAAGCTACAGTTTAAGGCCTCACTATACGAAGCTGTAGTTTTTAAATTTATTACTATTTTTTTATACTATTGATTAAGGCCAAGTCTAAATTTGGTCCTAGTTTTTTTCCCCTTCTATTTTATAATCTTAGATTTAAGAAAAAAGGATGCTTCATAAGTTTATAATTTATTCTATTTTTTTAAAGATAAGAAAATGTATATAATTCTCTTAATTTATTTGTTTATCTTACAGAGAATATATTAGTGTAAAATTAACTATAAATTAACAAACTCCTTTATTTCTAATTTTTTAATATATCTTAATATATGTATATATATTATATATATATATTGGAGGGAATGAACTACATTAAATACATAGTGGGAGTAATTGTTCCAAATATTTTGGATCAATACACCTTTACATATTCAAGCGTTTCCATACCAAATTCAAACATGACTTATGCTTTCTTATAAATATACAAATAGAATCTCAAAGTGAGTTTACAAAAACTGGCTGCATTCTCTATATACATTTTTCCATTCTCTATGTACAATTTTCTCTATCGTAAGCATCAACGGGACTTACTTTTTGTAGTTCTTTGTCTTTCTTACAAATAAGTTGTTACCGACAATGATTAAATTATTGGCAATAAAAAAGGGCAAACTGTCATTTAAGAATGTTTAAAGTTTGGCAATTTCAAATATGAAGAATGTCTTCTCTTCTCCATATTTGGAAAAATTATATAATTGTTAAATGCATTTTAAAAATGGAAAACCAATATTTTAAATAAAAATACAAAAGTTTATATAATTTACTTTACATAATAACATGTTTGAAAGTTATGTGTTTCACTTATATAACATAAATAAGTAGATAACATAACAATAAAAATAAGAAGATAAGATACATAAATATATGTATAAATATATACAAACTTAGAAGTTAATTATACTTTAATAATAATATGTATGTCCATGAGAAATAAATGTCGTAATGGCACATCTATAGTAAACCTATTGGATAGGAATTAATATTTTTGAAGGTTAGCTATAGTTACTAAAAATTTAATATTCACAACTTAACAATTCAGAAAGAGCCATAATTTAATTATTTGTCATGTTAACACAAAAACAAATTATTATTGAATTTCTGTAGCTGTCAGAAATGAAATGTAGATATTTGGTTATGTATCACATAACGTTCATGAATGGCCCCCTGGTAGTTTGGATTAAACCATGATAGTACTGAGAAATACGTGAAACGTGACTATATCTGGACTTGAACAAAAATACGTTGTAGTAGAAGTAACGTATTAAAGTTTTTTTGTTTCTTCTTACATTTTCTCTATCTCTATGGTGCTTTTTAAATATAAAAATCTACTTCTAATTTTCTTATGGATTTATACCAGTATTAGTAACAATTTATAACTGGTCTAATATAGTTATTAATGCATAGAAAAGGTTATCCTACAAGAAGGAAGAAAATAAGCAAATTTTACTTCTTATAAAATTTAAAAATTATAAATTAAAGCATTTTCTAATAATAAAAATAATGCTCATCTATATACATGCAATATAATATATGTATATATTAATAATGGCAATTATTAAAATGTTAACAGTATCATCCATGGAAGATAGAGAAATTTTGAATCGTGCCAATCCTACTCGATAACTTTTTGTACGCCTAAAACTTTTTATGTAACGTTAAACAGTATAAGAGCAGTTTTAAACGTGCATAAAACATTCTGAGATTACAAAAAGTTACTATATATATAATATATAGGTGGATGTTGACTTTAGCTAATGAGTCTGTATCAACAGCACCGATGTGTAAATTCGGATTGTACAGCTGAACAAACTACTTTGCATTTTTACACTGCATGTGGAGAATAATAATGTTTTATCTAAAGACGGACTATAAAGATAAATGCTGTATTCTGCATTACTATCGGGAATGTCAACATTTTTGTTCACTAACATTTGAATGATTGTGACATTTTTTGGTTTTTAAATGGAACAATTTCTCTATGTTTAAATCGCGAAATTAAAAATACTTGGTAGTATAGATTAATATTTCTACTCCTCTCAATCTGACTTTTTCTTCTGTATAATGTCACGTTCACGTTTTGGTAAAATGTAAGCATTATAAAAGTACTTAGCAAAGAGTACAAAATAAGAAAGATACATCAAAACAGCCAATTTGGCTGTGTCTACAGATATCTGACAGAAATCGCCTCGAAGACGAACTTGATAGGCCCAGTAACTAACGATACCACCCGCTATCATTTGGAGGATTTGAGACGAGGTAATCATCATGGCAATACTACGTGGAATGTGAATTCGCATTGCTCTCATAGCGTAATACGTATACATAAAGGAATGTACGACATAGTTCATTACCATGAACCATCTTGCTGGAGCAATATGTTCTGTGTAACTATACCAAGCAAAAAGTAATACAGTCATATGATGATACCAGTGAAGGAAAATCAAATTTTGCTTTCTTAGAATAATAAAAATTGTATCACCAAGTTCTGGAAGCTTGGAAAGGGTGAACATCCATGTCCAAAATCCACTCACTTTGGTCTCCTCAATAAAACTGGGATTGCAGACAGAATACGTGAAGCCGAATTCACGCAGGACGTGAAGAAATTCCGGAAGGGTTCGCAGTGCACCAAAGATGCTAAAAACTGCAAGAAAGACATTCCAAGCCGTCAGAAGGCGTCGTAGTTGAAAGGGTGGCCGCAACTGCATGTAGGCTTGCCCTCCAAAAACCAAAAACATGTATATTGCTACATAATAAAATGCCTGATGCCAGTGATTTACCATCCATTCTCTCTTCAGTCTCTGGTCAAAATCTTTCTCAAAATCAAATATTATGGAATAGTTTGGTGAAGAAGGATTATTTTTCATTTCTGCAACTTCCATTTTTTTATTCAATTTTGTCTTTTCTGTAAAAAAAATTTAGTTTTCAAAACTTGCATCATGAAATTTATCTATATATTCATTAATTAAAAAAATTAATTAATTAATAAAATTATCTAAATATATAGAACTCTTAAAATAGCATAGATATTTGTAATATTTTTTCAATTTAGATATAGTTACAGAAACAAAAATTTAACATAAATTATGGCTTAGACGAATGCCTATGTCAACCTAACTTGCACATTGGACAAATTATTATTATTATTATTATTATTAAGTTAACGAATCAAAGTTTAAGGTATAAAACAACTCCTGACTTTGAGTTTCAAATTGATGAGTTTAATACCCGATTTTCTCAAATTTTTCTGTCTGTAAATTTTCCACTATCAAGTCATTTCTCAAGAATCTTTTATAATCATTCTGTGAACATCGTATACAATTTGTGGCACTTTTGAAGGCATTGTAAGGTACTCCTTGTGTCCCAATCGTAATACTGATAACATACTGTATCAGTAAAAGGATATTGATGCAAGGCTGTAATGGCAAAGAGCCATAGTGCTTATTCATCTTAATCATCTTTATTCTCGCAGAATACAAGAAAAATGACTATTACAAACCTATCAAAGAAGGAGGGTACACGAGAAAACAAGTTTGAGTAAAAAGGACCGACAATTTCGCCTTAATAAGACCATATTATATGGAAAACTCTACATACTGAGCCCAGGACATGTCGACAACTTCAAGTTAACACAGTTTAACTTAGGAAGGTTTTACAGTAATTATTGATACCATGACATTTTCTTGACATCACTATTTTAACTTTTTAAATAAATTTTAGAATATCAATAGTACAGAGAGATTTCTATTGTGCTTCAAATTTGTATAGATGACTTTTATTGAAAGAATGATAAAAACAACAAAATAAATTCCTACAAATTGATCTTTCTCAATATAACAGCAAAACAAAAAAAAACCAATAACTTTTCATCTTGACACAATAATAGAGGAAACATGATCCATACTGCCAATTGTCTATTATATCCATAGATGTCACAATCAACTATAAAATGAACTTTAAATGGAGACAAGAGATACAAGAGTTTCTATTGAGCTAAATATAAGGAAAAAAGCACTTTCAAACAAGAATGTAAATACTAGCTACCATTTCACTAACAGACATTATGCACATTAATAGTCATAATTTGATATTCTCAAATAACATATTTCCATCCAGATTGATGCCTTGAAGCAAGCAGATTTGATATGTTGTTTCTGAAATTCATTATATCAAATTCCATTACATTAAAGATCAACAGTATAATAAAAGAGTATTAAGAACAGGATTGTACTATAGCTAAGGAGTATGAAATTCAACAAAATATTATATTGTTCATGAAATTCAAATGCATCAATCAAATTAAGAATTAAAAACAATTATTGTTTAAAAGTTGAATATCACACTTTTAAATTATTATTATTAAACTTGATTCTGACAATTACATCTGATATTTCTTAAAGATAATTCACAAAAAAAAATGTTTTTAGACTTTTTGGAGTTCTTCCAAAAAATGTGCTTCCAGTTCTTACATGTGAAAAATTTTAGTCTCTTAAAATTGATTTGAATAATTTCATTAAAATTCAAATTATTTCTATAAGTGTTTTCACTTTTGAATAAAATATTTTGAGCATCTGTCACAAAATATTATTATTACTACTACTATTTATAAGAACAAAGTATACATATATATACAATATTTTCATTAATTACATAATTCTAAAAAAAATTATTTAAATATTTATTTACAGAAAAAATTACTCAGAAAAGTTAAAAATAAGTAGTAAAGAATTTAATTTCAAAACGTTTTAATAAAATCATTTGAAATTCATTATATAAAATTTTAGATTATTTTATGAAGAATTTAATGACTAATTTACTATTTTCGTTTCGTTAATAATTTCTATGGAATAATTTGTAAAGAAAAACTAAAGATTTATTGATTTCTTAAACGTTTGATACTTGAATTAAATATAAAATATCTTTAGGGAGAAGTATTTTTTTATTAATCTTTTTTTAAATTGACCTTAAGAAATACTTAAAATTAATGACTGTCGGAGGTCAGGCTTAATTAACTTAAATTTAGAAAATATTTCTTAGATATTTTCATTTATGTTTAATGACAAAGAAACAGGGTGACGGTTTATTTTAATAATAAAATAAACCAAAAAAAATACTTTTCAAATGAAAAATTCAATAATTTTCTTGAATTTCTTTGATTGGAACATTATTGTTTAAATTACTATATAAAATAATTTATATATAAAAATTTTACGATTAAAAAAGACCAGAAAGAATTGGCTAAAATATTTTTTAAAATAATTAATCTTTCAATTAATATGGAAATATTATTATTCAAATAACATTTATTTAAAATTGTGAATGAATAAAAATGAAGACATGACAAAGAATGAATTTCGATAAAAGATAATTGGCATTCTGTAAGCCAACTATACTTGTTTCTTTTCTGCTATAAGCATTACAAGAAATACAAATCTTGAACATTTATTTATTGCAAAGTCCATGGACAATATTTGAAACCTAAAAACCTATAATCAATGGTATGTGATGATTCAGTATCATTCAGTATCGCCAATTCTATTTTAATTGGTCGTTTCCGTTACCAGTTTCTGTGGATTTTTTTAACCATAAAATTTTTTGGTTTTTTTTAGTAAGTTAAATTCCTTGAGTAATGTAAGTTACTAAAAAAAGTCGAAATTTTAAGCTTAAAAAAATCCATCAATTCTACTCCTTGCAAGTAAATATTTAATTTGATATTCCTATATACTAAGAGGATCTTTCTCTTCATCCTTTCAAGATTTTTTTTAGGCCAAGTGGCCTGTTCCGGACTCATTCCATCTTTTCAGTGGATGTCCTTTATTCCGATTTCTTTTTTCGGTTTTAGTTTAAGTATTCTTTTTGGGACTTGCTCTCAGTTCATTCACATTAAGAGGATATTACTGTAATTTAAAATATTTGAATAATAATAATGAAAAAAGTATTACTACATATTAGCGTGTTTCAGTAATATTTATATAATTAAAAATGTAACTGATAGTAAAGACATTTATAAAAGTATCTTATGAAAATTGGAATAGAGAGGTTGCGCAAACGTTTTCATCTGTAAAACGTGAACGTTGAGCATGAGTCCACTGACGTTCCAAACGCCATTATCAAACTTCTAGGCTTACGGGAAGGCGGCGCTGAACGTCCGACGTTCACGTTTTCGCGTTGAAAACGTCGGCCGCAACCTCGCTAATAAAGAAAAATATATCATATTCAGAGAAAAGAAAAAATAAATGAGCTGAAAAATCATATTTATTAAAAAAAACACACACACAAAATATTTCATTTCACTTAAGGCTGGAATTGTGATATCGGGCTGCAATTTTTCGTCACAATGCTCTCAATTTTAGTGGTGTCTTCCCCTGTACATTATACTTTTCCTGTTAACAATAGTCAAACAGAGTAACATAGGGTACGTTCGTAAAGTCGAACGAGTTAAACGAGAATGACGTCATCGTTATTCTTATTTCGTTAGACTTTTCGAATGATTCATTTATAACTAAATGGATGTTTCTAAAATCGAAGATACGGATGTTGCTAGTGCAGCCTTATCCGAAATATTTTCCTTAGATTGCTTCGGGTGGACGGTTATTTCAGTCATTTCAACTTTTAATTCACAATTTAAACATCGAGTAAATTTAGAAACATTGATATCAACGGGCGCCATTTTCTTAACGAAGTAAACTAACTCTTACCTTCGTGAACTTCGTTAGAGTTTCGTTCGAAACGTCATCATCGCAGAGCATGCGCACTGAGCGAGACTGCTACTTTTCGAACGATTCGTTACTAACGCGTTTAACTCGTTTGACTTTACGAACGTACCCATAGACTGGCATAAGAGAAAATTTTTGAATTAAAATAATGAAACTTCCCATCTAAACTGGAAGTCACATTATTTTACTTCAAATTCTCGTTATATCGCGTTTTTTTGGTCCCCCGTATTTTAAATTAAAAGGTATTTTTTGGTCAATAAAGTTTAAATTATCAATTTCCATTGAATTTCTTCTTGCAACAAAACACAGTATTTTATTCCTATCATTGTCCTTGAAACTACCACTGCAGGTGAAACAATTCATCAAGACCTAAATAAGCAAAATAGGTAGACAGATCAATTATCATTTATGTTTCCTTTTGATATTAAAAGTTGTATGTTTATTGGTTTTAAGTACCTTCTCCTCATTTACAAGTTTTCTGTGAATTCGAAATTTCACACCTTTATGTGAATTGATATTGAGTCAATTCACATAAAAGTGTGAAATTTCGAATTCACCGCGTAATGTGTAAGGAAAAGTTTTTTTTTTTTTTTTTTATTTCTGAACGGAAAGTTCTAAAATTTTATACAGCAGTAACTCTGTTTTGTAGAGAATTTTTACCTTGTGTAATTTTATAAGTTTTGATATTCTATGTTCAATATTTATGTTTTAAATTTTCAATTACCGTATTTATAATTTTTTTGAAAAATATAAATTACACTAATTTATACTATATATAGTACTGTATACACGAAATATAGTACTGTATAATAAAATCGCAACTGATATTTTGTTTTTACATCGACAGTATTTGTCTTTGAATGTCATTACAGTATTAAAGAAATACTAATGCTAAATGGGCGTTCGTGGTATCATGTTTACGTAAACGTCAATTAATACGACATAACCACGAATAAAATTCATTATTGACAAACTAAGCTTATTTTATATCAGAAACACTTGCCGATGAAAGAATAGTTATAAATTCCATAGCATGTATAATCTGCTTAGTAAAAGCCCAGAATCTAATACTCATTATAACATGCTTTTGTCTCCCGACAAGCGCGAGATAAGGAGCGGTAACCCTCCTTATACTACTGTGTAGTTAATCGGGACCCCCTGCCGCGATGCTTTCCATATCTGGTCTTGA